CATTCCCTGCTCACCTGTTGGCCAGATGTGCATTGGGCTCACCTCTGGACTGACCTGATAGCAGCGTTCAGAGTTGCCAAATTTGGGCCTAATAAGGGCAGTGAGTTGCTTTAAACCCCAGTGCATGGGGTTTTAAAGAGGCTGCTGTTGTATGCACTGCACTGTGAAATATTCCAGCACATCCCTTGAGTGCCAAGCGTTTCAGCAAGGCTTTAAATATCTTTAAGGGAATTTTTTGGAGTATGGCTGTTCTTTATTGAGGAAACACCTGTTATCCACATTTTATGGGTAGGGTGTTGAGCTCAGGAATGATGCTGTTTGCAGAGAGTTCGGGGAATAAAGGGTCTAACTTGATTCCTGCAAGCCTTAATCGTGTGCCATAGCTCCTGTTCAGCCTTCCTTGGGGTGGAAGGTCACAGATGATCCTTAAGGACAGGTTGCAGAGTGATGAATAACTGTCTCAAAACAGTAAAATATCCAGATGAATGAGGTGGGAAGAATGTGACCATTTCTGTGTAGTGTTGTAGAATGCTGCTTTTAATGTTTTCCATAGATCTTTTCAGCGGAGCTTTGACTTTGGTGCAATGGGCCAGACCCATGGCTCTGTCCCTTCTTTGAGGGAAGCTTGGGAATGTCAGGCATGGGATAAATCACAGGAGAGCTGCAGGAGGCTGTGCTCTGAGCTGCTCCTCAGGGCTGGAGAAAACTTTCAAGTTAATTCCCTGATGCTAAACCTGTGCTGTATGCTGGAGAAATCCAAATTTGGTGGCAATCTGCTTTTCCTTGGATGGATACCGAGGCTGAAATGTGTAAGCAGGGTGGGCTGCACTGCCAGGGGCACTCACCTGGAGCAGTGATGTAGGTGAGGTGTCCTTGCAGCTGGCACCCAGCAGTGCTCTCATGTGCTCTGGAAGGTGTCAGAATCACATCCCTGCCTGTCTTTCTGGTTTCCTGAGACTTGTCTCCCACCCAGTATTTTTTTCAAGTTGAATCAGTAAAATGATGGATTCTCAGCACTGAGCTTTTCTGCACTCGGAGGTTATTTGCCAGTTGTGACAGCTCTGCAGAGTTTTGTCCTGGCCAGTAGTCTCAGCAGATGCATTGTGTTGCCTTCCTGAATCCAATTTGTAACAATAATGTTTTTCCCATTCTGTGTTTCTGGAACCATTTGCCTGCTTTCCTTCTCCCAGGACATCCCAGCGAGGGCTCTGCCCTGCACGCTCCCAGTTGCCTTCTATTTGCCTCCTTCCACTGCCTGAATTCCCATGTTTTGGGAGTAGATTATGGGAGATGATTGTAGACACACTAAAAGTCATTTATGATAGACCAGTGAGAATCTTGGGCAACTTTTGAGACTCTCCTTCTAAAAAACACAAGCCCACATGTAAAATTTCCTAAGCTGCTTGATTTATTTGATTCATTTCCTCTGTCTTTCAATTTCAAAGCCATTTAAGCAGATCATGTGCACAAACATTTAAGTTCTCTTTAACTAAAGTCAACCAATGTGTTTTTTCAATGAGCTGGAGCTCATGAGAAACATTCAAACATTAGCTGTGTAAAGAAGGCAAATAGTGTTTGTACAATATATTGAAAATTAGCCCGAGGCACACTGGAAAAATACATGTTTTACACATGTATATTTTTCTTTCAATTCCATGGTTTGTACCAAGTCCTGACACAGATCATTCCAGAAGCTACCAAATGAATTCAAACTGTGAAAGAGGTTGCAACTATCTCTAAAAAGAGGGGGTTTAACTGTAATGTGGTTGGTTTTGTTCTGTACATTTGATCACTTGAAGGAAAAGCCTTTTCTCCTGCTGCAGCATGTCAAGGAAGCTTATCTGCATGTAAACAGCAAAATGAAACCTCTCTTGTGTTGGAAGGGTTGAAGCTTTCAAGTTTAGAAGTTAAGCATTTCTAAAAATGTACTAATGATGTCATCCTGATAACAGGAGATACTCCTCTGTCTTCGTCATGGAGTGATTCTTTTCCATAGATTTTAAAGCTGTCAGAGGAGTAGGAAAAAGCTGGCACAATCACAGGAATCAGTGGAGAAGTTTTATTATAATAAGTTGGGGAGCAGCTGTCATGTTATCTGCATTAAAGATTGTGCACCCATTATCAGGAGTGTTTTGCCCACAGTTTGCTAGAAATTCAGGTCAAGAGACCATTTTCCTGAAGGGGAAGAAATGGGCATTGTTGATACAACCGTGGAGGGAGTACCAGTTAAAACTTTGGACAAATAGGAGTACACCTAGAGCTATTAAGGAAAACACGATTTTTTTTCTTGTTGTAATAATGCAGTGTTTAATTCTAATAGGACAGATCATAAAACAAAAGAAATGGCTTGTGAGGCTCTGGTGCTGTAATGGACATAAATGTACTTTCTGCAGTTGATGATGTTAAAGTATTTGTTGTTTATATGAATTATTGTGTGTATATAGAGTTGAAACTTTCAGTAAGACAAATTAAAACTTTTGTTTGTTTCTACAAGAGAATTCACAGCAGTGAAAGTCCATATGGAGTCTTGGATGCAGGAGTACAATGAGTCACCTTAACATGTAGAAGAGAGCATATGGTTTTGGTAATAGGTTAATAAGGGCAATTAACCTTGTAGTGCACTCATTTGTTGGTCTCAATTGTTTATAAACTAGGTAATAAAGATATTTTAACATCCTGTAGTTTTATAGGAGATTAAGTGAAATCAGGCTGTATTTTTTAAGTTTCAATGCCAATAGCACTCAGGTGATATTGTGATAGAAACATAAAATTAGCAGAGTAGAAGATTCAGAGTACTCCATGGTGTGTCCAACCAATGGGTATCATCACAAATGTTGAAATATATAGAATAGTTCAGAGAAATACAAACACATGTTAAAGGTTTTCATTAGCAGAACTTTTTTCCTGGGATGCAGTCACAGATCTGTCACTCAGCTTGTTCTTATCACCTTGCAAAGACTGTAATGTGAAGTGTTTCCAGGCTTTATTTATGTAGAAAAGAATTCTAAACTTGCCTTCTTCTTCTTGAGGGTGAGCCTCATAAAAGAATAGGCTAAAAAAAGCACTGCCATTGCTTTATTCTGTTTGTTTTGAAGGACTTCCTGCAGAAGTTCCAGTTTCTCTGTTCTCTGCTTGGCAAACAGAATCAGTGGGTACAGACTGGCCCCACAAACTGCACCCCCAAGAAAAGCCATTTTTACTTCATTCTCTGTTGGCTCCTCACATTCAGGTGGTGTCACTTGTCCAGTTGGGTACCTTGATGCAAAGTCAAGTGACACCAAGGATTGTGTGATTTTGTTTTACGAGTTTGTTTTGGGTTCTAGGCTGGTTGTGATGGGAGAAGGGATGGTTTCACCATAATAATAGTTTTTTATTGAATTTGTATCAGTCAGCTTTTTGGCCTCCTGCCTTTGTGCAATATCTGTTTTGCAAACTTCTGCCTACTTATTTGGCTACTATATTATTATTCCAAAAGAAGCCTCTAAATCAGCTCATCTGTAGATTTAACTTGAGCATGTAAAGTATATATTGTGGTCATTGGTTTTGTCTGTCCTTCCTGATTTACTGTTAATTGTCTGATTTTTACCTTATATGTTGGTTATAAGTTATTTTAATAATTTAGCTGATGATAACCCAAATGAGCTATGATTGTTTTTCTTTATTCTGTATTTGAACATCAAGACAATAATTTCTTTCTTTAGGTTTTCTTCAGAGGTTTCCATGAAACCTTTCTATACTAATTTGTGGTCTCATTTTTTTTCTCTTTCATTGAATTGACTGAACAATATATTTGCTGGTGCAGCATTCACCAAAGATGAGGACTCTTTTGCTTTATTAGACTTGACAGTGTTTAAACAATACTAATTCTCATACCCAGCTGGCTTTTCAATTGATTTCTGTGTTCTCTATTGCTGGGTAAAACAAGCTGGAACATTAATGGCATCTTGCATGCTACCCTCTGGAGACCTACTTTTCTTTAGAGAAAAATCAAATAAATTTGAAAGTTTCTGGGTTTTCTCCTTATTTTTTTTTCAAATGATACTTTAGTGTACTGTCAGATTTTGTACGTGTTACAATACTAATTTTCAAGCACATTATTTTAAAAAGTAGTCTTCATTTTATAGATAGATTCACTGGTTTGCTCATTTTTTAATAGAAATAAATGCCTTCATCTAAACCAGAATCTACCAGCTTTAAAAACATGTTCAAGATGCACATGAATGTGCTATTTTAACCCCGCTAAAATTCTGTATATTGAAAATGTGTTTGCCAAACAACCAATGAACATTTGCAGATGTTAATCATTTGTTTAGCCTCCCACTTTTAACTATATTGAGTATTCTTCATGAGAGAGAGAGAGAGACATAAAACCCCCATTTTTCTAGGCTATAAATATAAATATTTAAGTCACGCATTTAGACAAGCCCAAGCCTTAAAACATTTGCTCCTGAAGGAAGAATTTTGTCTGTTTAGAACAGCCATCTGTGATGGGCTGCAGCCATTGCTGAGGTGACCATTGTAGCACAAGTCTCTCCTTCCAGTCCTTCAAAGGCTGCTTAATTCCATATAAATTTCAGTTAATTGTGAAACAGCCACTTTCTGAAACCCAAGTTTGATTCTTGTCCCTTGCACCTCCCCAAATTCCCAGTTAGCCCTGCAGCAGGGGTAAGGATTTGGGTTGTCCTGGTCAAATGAGGGCAATGACCTGTCATAAAGGACTGGCCAAAGCTGGGGGGTGGGGTTTGATATTTAACTTCAAGGAATCAGTGCTTTCTAAACAAAAATTATGACTTTCTTGGCTATAATATCTCCTATAATTTTTTGCAGACCGGTGGCCCTGTGCAAAATGTGTGCCAGTATTTGTCCCACAGTGCCATGACACTCTGTGTCGTGCATACAAAGTCACTTGGAAGCCTTGTAGGGAATATTTTCTAAATTAAGAATGTTTTGATATCACAGTATTCCATTTAAACAATTTTTTTCCCTGTAATTTTCTACAGCTGGTCTAAAAACCCAAAAGAATGGAAGTTTCAAAAGACAAGACAGACGTGGCTTCTCCTCCACATGTATGATAAAGAGAAGGTTTGTATTCATGCTGCTTTTTCTCAAAACAAATATGATACAGTATTATGCATTAGTTATAGTTATTCTTTAGTAACCAAAACTTCCTAGTACTAACCATGCATTTGTCTCATAATTTTTAATAACTTACAAATTACTTTGTTTTTAACCAAGATGCTGAAGCATTTTAATTGCTTGTCATTTATCTTTTTATTTTGTTGGTGATAATTATCCTGTGCTTGCTAGATTTTTATACTTGATGTATAGCAAGCATAAAGAGAGCAGATTCATGATTTATTGAAATATGGAGTTTTCTGAGAATTTGAGTCATATCCTTAATTTGAATTTCCTAATGTGGAACCCAATACAGCAAACCACAATTCTCATATTGTTTCAGATATCTCTGGGCTCCATGGAAGATGTACAACCATATTGCCAAGATGTTAAAATAGCTCTCTCATTTAAATATAAGTGAAACCTGATGTTGATTGTGAAAAGCATAAAGTATAACCAGAAGCCAGGCTTGAATCCATACTGAAATCTGTTCATTTCATAACTTAAAAAACAACATACATTGAATTACCAATAAGCATCTGACCATCGTGGTATCAAATGAGGGTGTTAAGTCATTCATTTTGTTGTGCAATAGAACAAACCTCTGTCCATTTTCACAGTGCCTCACTTATTGGCTCATTTTGTTGACATTCAGTTAAGTTTTGCTGATTTTTTTGTGTGCACTTGAACATTTACTCATACCAATTGTCCTGACCCAAATTAGTCAGCAGCTCTTAAGCCAATCACCTGACATTGGGTGTTACCTTTTTAGACAGCCAGATAATTAACAACAGAGTTTCATGAAGGCAAAAATGTTCACATGGTGTAAATATTTTAAAAAGATGGGTTGCAGAATACAAATTTGATTTTGGGTTCTGGGTTGTTTGCTGTGTCTTCTGTTTTTTAAGTTTCTCTCTTTCAAGTCTTTATCAACCTTTCAAAATCAGTGCGTGCTCTTCAAAGCTACCTAGAAATTGTTTAGCAGGCAGAAAGATGTTTTTACTTTTTTACCTGTTTACTTTGTTTTTGTGTTGAAATATGCAGGGACACAATGAACTGTAAGTAATGTTTGTTTTATGTCTCAAAACACAATTTAACTCCTTATTTCTCAACACTGAAATGAAACTTCCTTTTTCTTAAAATTCTGATGGAAGTGCTCTGATTTATTTAAATGCACATATTTTGTAGTTTAATAGTCAGAGAAGCATTGAATATGAGCTTCAGAGAATGATTAACATCTGCATCCAGATTTAGTGAAGTTTGTAGAGATGCTCAAGTGCTTACAATTAAACATATAATGAAGTCTCTTTCTTCATCAGGACCATAGGGAGGGCACACCCAGCTTCTTTTGAATATTTTTTATACCCAGATTCAACTTCCTGTCCATTACAGAATGAAATGTGTTGGTAATCCAAGCATGACTAACGTACAAAAGGAGACATAAGTTTATTTCCTTCCTATCTTTGATCTCATGGTGTCACTTGGATGCCTACTGAAGAGCCATGCAAAGGCCTGAATTGGGTTTCCTGTACTGATAGGCTTCTTTCTGTAAGAAATAAGTTGAGGTTTTAAAATTGTTTGCTAGATAAATGGTTTTTTAAGCTCCTTTAAAATCCATCTGGTGGCTGGCTGACAGCTTCCAAGCCAGGCCTGCGTACCTATGGTGTGCATAACTTCTCCAGCACCCAGGATTAAATAAACACTAGGTTATTTGTTGGCCTTTATCATCTGGCACAGCATTTTTAGGCAGTTACTAGATCAGTCTTTAGTTTCTGGACTTCAGGGCATGGTGAGGTGGCTGAAGCTTCCTTGGAAGGTAACCCAAAATGCAGCCTGGCATCAATGAGCTGAGCTTCTCTCAGTGTGTCTGTGTTTGCATTGCAAAATACGTGGGTCTCTGCAGGTCTCCAGGTCTGAAAATACAGAGTTGCAGAGGATAATTTAAAAGTGAGAATGTTCTTTTCCTGGTACTCTTTCCTAGTGTTTGCCTCCTTTTCCTGAAGACAGGAATTATTTCACTTGGGATTATTTCCATATTAATCAGCTCCAGTGAATATTAGGAGGTTAGGACAGAGGCAAGATTGGTCTGTGAGAGAGAAAAAGAAACAAGAACAAAGTCAAAACAGTTTAACAAAAGAATAATAACAAAATCCCATAAGCCTGGCTTTGACTTCCAGAGCCGTGCTGGGAGATCTTGATCTCCAATTTCAAACCAGCCTTGAACTGACCTTGGAAGAAGGATTGTGTTCTTCCTTGGAAAACCTCACCAAGACCCCTGAAATTACTGCTTTTGTACTACTGTATTTGAAGAATTAAAATTTGGATTTCATTAACTTTGTGGGTTCCAGTCCTTGCTATGGCTCTACTGTCTGTGTAAGTCAGGAGGAAATATGATCTTACCTTGCCCACAGGGTGCTGTGCTGTGAGCTCCTGATGAAATAAACCTCAGAGCTGTGCTCTGTTAAAGGAAAAAAGCCAGACTTCTTCAACACTTGAACACCCTTAGGGCTAAATGTTTTTTAGGCTTCAGGCAGCCTCATGTTAAGTCTGCACACTTAGGATTTCTAAATTTAGAGCAGGTTTTCAATTGTCCCCTCAAGCAATTTGCTTAAATGATATAATAATAACTGTACGTCCACAGGTATGTCTATGCCATGAGCTCTGAGAAAAGAGTGGTAAATTACAGAGATAATTTGTCCAAGGTTTGAAACGTGGAAATGTTGCTGACTTTAGAAGATCAGTAGTGCGTATCTCTGTTAAAAGAACACTGTCACACTGGAATTGTTTGTGTCTAAATGGGTTCGTCTGTTACTAGTGCCAACTTACTGTGAGTGAAAAATTTCAAAAATATAGATATTTGATTTGTATAGTATAGCAATGCTTCATATGTCATCCATTTCAGTGTTAGTCACTGTAAAATTAATATTTCTTTCGTAACTGCATTGTTTCTTTAATGCAAGAGTGTTCGTGTGAAGAATTAGAAGGTTTTCCATAGTGTACAAGTTAGGAGGCTGAACGCAGACTTAAGTTTTGATTTATTACTTTGTAATACCCCTGACTGATGAAGGCAGCATTGGAATATTCTTTCTTCCTCTTCTTTTGGAGTGATAGAAGTTTTAGTGATCAAAGTTCGGCTGCCAAATGTCCATGGAGAAATAAGTTGTAAATTAAGTGTCTGCTGAAGCTCTGTCTTCTCTGAAATGTTGATACTTTGCAGAATCGAAACCGCCCTCGAATAATTAGTCTCGAATCCTTTAAATACTTACGTATGTGTTTAACTTAACTCATGTCAAGTTATATGTGTAAAGTTAAACATGGAGAAACATATTTGCAGGGTGAGATCATTTTAACATCTCGTGATTCACAGCAAAAAATATCCTGTTATTGGCTGAAACCTGTTCCACAGATACACAACATGAAGTTAAGATCAGCGTAGGTCTGTTCACATATTGCTTTTGAAAGTACTTCAGTATGAAATGCTGAATAAATCATTCCAAAGTCCTTGCTAAATTATTGTCAAGATTAATATGATCATTTAAATTGTATGTTGTACCAGATAAGCTAAAATTTAATCTCTGACTAGTTAATTAGGAAGGGAGTGAAGTGTGGATAATGCAACTGTAGATGACTGAAGTGCTTTTAATGTTAGACATGTTGGTAGAGCCTATCAGTTTTACTCAGTATGATTATTTAAAAATTATTTCCATATGTCTGAATTTGAGTTTGTCTTTCAAATTAAATTCTAGTCCTTTCTATAAGCATTCTGTCAAAGTGTGCAGTGGTGGGTGGTATCTCATCTTAGCAAACAATTTTTGGGCAAGGGTGAGGGGAATTCTAGCAAAACCCTTCTCTCAGACATATGCATGCAATTCTCACTGAATTTAGTAAGATTTACATGTGTGCTTCCAAAAGGAAGGTTTGGCTAATGTGTTTTGTTTTTTTCTTCCACCAACGCTGAGAGCCTTGGGCTCCCTGTCAGGCAGTGTTTGCATTTGCTGATCAGCATTTCCACATCTGCTGAGCATTTCCTCTCAGATGCTTTGCCCATCTGAGCACATGACAGTCCTCTCACCAGGGCCCATCCATCCCTCCTGGCAGCTTGAACTTTGGCAGGAAACATTTCCACTTGGATTTCCACTTGAAGTTGGACCTTGGCAAACACCAAAACCTGTGCAATTCTTCTAATTGTCTTTCAGGCAATGCTGTGACGTGATTGTGAATATGTATTGAGAGGGGAGAAAATAAACCTGCTTTTCCTTCCTTTTATTTTTTCTTCCAAGGTTCCAGACAAGTATTTCCCTATTTTACTGGATTATCTGCAAGGGCTTCAGGGCAATGCACGAGACAAAACTGTGCAGAAAGCTGAAGCTTTTATGAAGGAATTTGATGGTTCCGATGGAGAAGACCCAGACCTGCTGGGGAAGTGCGAGCGCATCAGACAAGTTCTACAACTGCTGTCCTGAGACTATTTCTGTGTCATAATTGTTGTCTGGTGGAGGGAAGGAGAGGATGTCACACCCAGAGGCTGTAAAGTATTTGTAAAGATAATACTAAATTTTATACTCGTCATTTTTTCCCATTGAAAATATATCTTGTGTTTTGAGGTGATGAAATAAAAATAGCACGTATAGCCCATCGTCTTGCTATTAATCTTATTGCACCTCTTTAGAAGAATAAACCTCTCTCCCTCTCTCCCTCTCATTAATTTTTTTCCATCTCTCCCTCTAATTACTGTTAAATATGAGGAACTTTGCAGCTCTTAATAAGGAGAGCAAAGGAACAAACATAAAGCCTGGAAGGTCTTTTACAATGGCAGCTTTTAAAATGAGTGTACAGTACAGTGAGTGCTCAGCCAGCTGTAATCTCTCACTTTCAGCTTCAGAACGATGTCACTTGGATTTGGGAAAGATCATTTTCAGTCTGTTGAACACAGGTTGTATAACACAGTTGCTTATTAGTACTTCACACAGTGATCTGGAGATACCATCGGCTTTGTTGGCTTTCCTTTTACATTTTAAAGTTTTCAAATGCATTAGGGCAATTGTTTAGATACTCTGATAATGCACAGATGGGAACAGATCAATCCTTGACTATATGTTGTGAAATCATCACATTGTAGCTAAACTTAGCCTACAGTCAGAAGTGCTGTGCTGTATCCAGCCTGCCAATATTGCATTTTCCTTTTCCTCCTGCAAATGGCATCCAAAAGAGTTAATTCATGTTCATTCCTTTTGGCATGGAACATTTGTCTCTTATGAATGTGCTGAAAATGAGGCTTTCAAGTAAAAACCAAGGACATTAATTACTCAAAGTTGGATGATTGGCTTATTTGATAACACCGGTATTCAGACAGAGTTCTTGACCCGATTCTTTAATGTTTCTGCAAACATTGTTCATACTTTATTAATAACAACTATATGAAATATGTGGTGGTGTAGAAGAGTGGCTGTCTTTAGGAATTACAGCTTTAATTTGGGTGGGTGAACGAGGGGAGGATCAATGGATATGCTGGCCTGATTTTCCAATAAGAAGCATTTGGGTGGATTTGACAGCCTTCATCGTCATGGCTTAGTACAAATCTTTGAAAGTATGAAATGTATTACTAATAACAAATAACTTATGCTTTCTGACTTGCTGAGGAGGATGTTTTCAGCCAAAAAAGACTAGAAACCAGCATGCCCTCTTCTAAAAGAATAACTGGGATGGAGTTTGGCACAAGAATGGGCAGAACTGAGCAGCAGTGTCCAGGCTGTTCATTGAGCTGCTGACAGTGCCTTGAAGCTCAGCTGGATGAGAGCTGCAGAGGAGACAGAGCCAAAGTCTTTCTGAGCTATATAGCAATGATCTTCCAGTGAGAAACCTGGTGAAAAGGATCTGTAATAAAAAGGAGTGATCCTGACATTTAGTGAACTCATAAAAGATCATTGGGTCATGTATTTTACATGTGAGAATATGCAGCTGGGAAAAGCTGCTGTCACTCCAAGCAGAAGCTGATATTTGTTTCTTTCCATGAGGGAAAATAGGAATTTCTCAGAGATTAAGTTTTCAGAGTATCTTTTTGTAAGTTTATCATTGCATGTTAGATGTCAGAGAAGAATTTTTTTTCTCCCTCAAGACATTTGAACATCATCACTTTTGATTTCTCTGTCACACAAAAATGTGAGTCCTCATTGTGCACTTATACCTCCTGGCTTAAAAGCACAAGCACATTGCCACTGCACATTGGAAAGGAATTGTAAAAAAAGATGACAAAGGTAAGATCTGGGCAAAAATATGGGAGCCTTTTATGATTTTGACATATTTTTCAAGATTTGCCTTTCTTGGACCTTAGTTCTGACCATGTGTAAATGCTGACATATCTGTAAGAAGAGAAGCTTTGCAGTCAAGAATGTAATGTTTCATTTTATATAAATTAGTAATAAAAGCACACAAAGCCTGTCAACCTGGAGGCCATGTGAACAGTAGTATTTTCAAAAGAACAGTTAGAGCCTCTCACCAGCACAGTAATAGACCCTTCCCACAGTAATGGGAGCAGGTCCTGCTTTGCTCTCCTCTTCCTCAGCTGCAGTTCCAGCTTTCCCTTCATTCCCACTGATTGTGGGGCAAGGTCATGGTCCTGGGGCTCTGCTTCTTGCAGTTATGGAGAATTCAGAAGCTACAGTTGAAGGTAATTGTTGCTGTGGTTGTGTTTGGCAGAGAAAGCAAAGCATGGTGCTTCCTGCCATGTGCCTTTTGCTGTAGGTACTGTCCAGTGGTCAGGGGGGTCTTCAAATTGGGTAAAAGATGTGTAAAACTGCTGCTTGGTGGTGCTGTGTCTTGCATATCAGAGCTCAATATGAAATATTCTAAGAGTTGTCTAAGACTCGATGTTGTAGTGCAAATAGAAAAGGACACTTTAATTGCATTTCATTTTTTTACTTCTCACCTTTTCTTCAAAAATCTTCAGCAGTTGGCTTTGGCAAACAAGTCATCCTCACAACAGCCAGGAAATGCAAGAGCACTCATTTTTGGGGGATCTGTATTGCTAGGTTAAAAAGACAAGATTGTGAGGACACAGAGAACTTATTCCACAAACTGAAGATGCTGTAGTGGCTCTGGCAAGTAAATCTTGCGTTGTCTAAGTGCTATCCACCACACCAGCCTCTGCTTCCTGCTCAGCCTGGCATTTTCACCTCTTGATTTACTTTATGCAATGGGTAAGTCTAGAAAAATCTCCTCCATCGTGCATTTTAAATTATTTATCTTAAATTATTAAGTGTGCAGCCAGTTACTGAATTCCTGTAGCTGGTTGGAGCTGTGTGGGAAGATGTCATCTGGCACTTTATTCCCTTTTTGTCACTTGGTCATGTACAGTTCTCAAATCTCAACGTTGCTTGTATCTTAGGCAATCACATGGGCACAGATAGGACAAAATTGTGTCTTTGCCTCTGTTTGAATCAGTCTGCTGTGCTAATAAAAATTGCATCCCAGGCTAGAAGTAGCAGTGTGTACAGAATGACAAATTACATCTTCATCTGCCTACGCTAATCGCCTTCTAGTCGAGTTAATCTGCATTGTGCAGCTCTGGCTAGCAGAATGTGTGTCCTAAGAGAATGCTGAAGTCAGGACTTCCAGGCAAAATAAAGGAACACTAATTACTTAGAATTGCTTAAAGCTGGATCTGGGCCTCTAATGGAAGTACTAATTACTCAAAATTTGACAGTGGAAGAATTTCCCTTTAATTCGGCTGATCCTTGCTATGGGTTGTGTATCTCTTTGGTTCTCCACTGTCTGCCCACAATTTTAATTTGTTATCACCATTGTAACATTACTGTGTAAATGAATTGTGTTTGTATTTGGAAAGGGCATCTTGGACTTGTTGAATGTGTAGTTTATTTCCTTATTTCCTGTCACTGGAAAACTGCTCTGCTGTGTTTCTCTTCATTTTAAAGCAAGGTGACTATTGACTCATCTCCCATTATTTCAAATAGCTTAGAAATGCACATCTTTGCTTTGAGCTTGGGAGTTTTGTTTTGTGGGATTTTCTAAATTTTTCCATTGAGTAAGGCAAAATAAAAAACATTAAAATCTACTCCCATTTCTGCAAATCAGTGTCAAAAACAGCAATCGTAAAAGAGATTTAAGATGCAAAATCAAGCACTCAGAAAATTAGAAAACATAAGAATGGAAATTGTCTGTGTAATTTAAATTTTACTCCTTCATGCATATGTAGTAGGATGGAACTTCTTAATTATGTCATCAGGACTGTGTTTTCCTTTGTGTGCAACTGGTAAATTATTTATTCAGTGTCTTCCTTGCAGCTCTGCTGCTCTTCTCATTTTCAAAGGTAGGTCTACAAAGCAGTCCCAAAGCCAGAGAAGTAACGTTGCAGTTGGGCTTTCATGCTGCACAGAAATAAGTAGGAACTTTCCTATTCCTTTGGTGTAGGAGCTAGTCATAGATGTTTCATCACAAATGTTCCCTTTAAAACATATTTTAATGTTCTGATTCATTTACAGTCAAAATACCAAATTGATGTTACTTAATTTAAATCCAGTTTTGTTGACATAAAACTTTCCAGTGGCTTATTCTGGTTTAGCCTTTGGTTTCCTTTTATGTCTTCCTTTCTGTACAGCTGAATGAGCTTGTTATTTCTGTCCCTGCAAATAGGAATATTAGTTGTTTACAGTGATTCCAGTCATACAAGGACACAATTAAATGTCCTTGCCTGTGCAGGACAAGCTCATTTTCACAATGATTTATAATTATGTTCTATTTTAAATTCTTCATAAGAACCTACATAGTCAACCACTTAAAGCAGTTTTAAATAATTATTATTTTAAATAAGGTGTTTTTTCCCCTTCAAGGAGCATGGAATAGCAAACTAAATAAAACTAGTAAGTAAATGGTGGGGGAAGGGCTAAGCAAAACAGTGGTTTATCTTTCTTTGTCAAAACAAAGCTGAATAAGAAGCTTGTGCTACTAAAAAACTGGTGTTGCAGACATAGAGGGAGGGCCCTCTGGGTACAAACAGAAGAACACTCATACAGTTGCTTTTATTGATTTTTTTTTTCCTTACATGCAGAAAATTTTTGGCATTCCCCAACAAAACCCACAAAAACACCTACGTCAAAAAGTTAAATAGGTTTCAAAATCAAATCCTTAAAGGTCAAGAAATGCCACATGTATGTAAATGGCCAGAAGAATTAAAATTCTACCTCTCTGTGCCTCCAGTCTGGAGACTGAATGAAAGGAGATTGTGTTAGAGGCAAACAAGCAAAAACCTCTAAATTATGTGAGCACATAGTTAAAATTGCCAGATACTCTTGTGTTCATAGGAAGGTGGAGTTCATTCCCTATTAGCTTTAGTTATTCATAGTTTTAAATCAATACTTTCTACTAATTGAAATATCACATCTGTGACAACTTACATCTATTCTCCTCAAGGTCCCAAGTGTATTTTATAAAACTGTGAGCCATGGGACACAGGATCTGTCACTCTAACTTGCATACAAATAGCCAGACCAGCCACGGCACTGTGAAAACCATCATTTGCTGCTGAGCTCCTTTGGACCCACAAGATGTCTGGCACTGTGTTTCCCTGTATTGATCTGGAGGTACAACAGGCTTTGGCAGCATCCTTTGTACCAG